ATTTTGATCCTAGCTTGTGATTCATCCAGCCCAGCGTTTTGGACTACTCTGCATGGAAGTTAAATAAGCAGGATGACAATATACAGCCTTGGTGTACTCCTCTCCCAATTTTGAACCGTTCTGTTCCATGTCTGGTTCTAACTGTTGCTTCTTGACCCAAATACAGGTTTCTCAGGAGACAGATAAGATGGTCTGGTATTCCCATCTCTTTAAGAGTTTTCCAGTTTCTTGTGATTCTCACAGTCAAAGGCTTTAGCATAGTCAATGAAGCAGAAGTAGATGTTTTTCTGGAATTCCCTTGCTTTCTACATGATCCAACAAATGTTGGCAATCTGATCCTCGGTTCCTCTGCCTTTTCTAAACCCAGCCTGTTCATCTGAAAGTTCTTGGTTCACGTACTGCTGAAACCTAGCCTGAAGGATTTTGAGCATAACCTTGCTAGCATATGAAATGAGTGCAATTGTACATTCAAAGAATGTTTGAACATTTTTTGGCATTTCCCTTCTTTGGGGTTGGAATGAAAACTGACCTATTCCAGTCCTGTGACTACTTCCTGCTGTCTACTTCCTCTGAATGCCCTGAAGACACTAGGAACCTCCACATTGTTAAAGCCAGTGGCACTTTGAATTGTTTTGTTACCTGTCTGCTCTGCATATGACACTGCCAACCAGCATCTCCTTTTGTTGGTAAATGTGGTATTGAGTGCTTGTTCTATGTCAAGTATAGTGCTAAGCTCTTTATATGTTATTAATTCATAAAATTCTCAAAGCCAGTGTGAAGAGGTCATTATTGTTTCCTATCTACATGTAAGGAAACTGAGGCTCTTGCTTGTGGACCAGGAGCTAACAACAGGAAGAATCAAGTGGGAACCTTCCTAAATGTTCTTTTTCCTGGGTTTCTGTAGCCTCGTTTGTTCATGGTTTTTCCTCTCCTCTCTTTGGCTCCTCTTTCTTTGCCTGCCTCTTAAGTGTGGTCATTTCTTGGGCTTGTTTCCTGATAGCTTTGCTTTCTCTCCCTTTCTGCAATTACCCTGGGCAGTTTCATCAAATCTCCTTCAAATGGCTCTCAGATCTCCATCTCCCTCCTGGATACCTCTTGTGAGCCTTGGAACCACTTGTGGGGTTAGTCGCTTGTGTCTGACTTTTTGTGACCACATGTACTGTAGCCCGCCAGGCTCCTCTGTCCATGGGATTCTCCAGGCAAGAATGCTGGAGTGGGTTTTCATGCCCTCCTTCAGGGGATCTTCCCGACCCAGGAATTGAACCCGCGTCTCCTGTGTCTCCTGCACTGCAGATGGATTCTTTACCGGCTGAGCCATCAGGGAAGCCCTTGGAACCACTTACCCATCCACTTTCCTAGCGTCTTCTCTTGGGAAACCCTCTGTTCAACACACATTGGAATCACCAAGAAGCTTTTTAAAAAGATAGTAATGCCTGAGTCCCACTTCACAGAAACCAATTTAATTGCTTTGGGTTGTGTGACCTGAGCATTACTATTTTTTTTCATTATGGTTAAAACCAGGAAATTTTATAACAGGAAATTTACCAAATTAACCATTTTTAGTGTACAGTACAGTAGCATTAACTATATGCATGTGATCGTACAACAGACCCCTATAGACTTTTTCATCTTACAAAATGCAAACTATTAAAATAAATGCACTCTATACTCCTTGAGCAGCAACTCCTCTTCCCCCATCCTCCCAGACCCTGGCAACCACATTCTATCTTCTAAGAGTTAAGTTACTTTAGATAGCTTACATAGAAATGGAATCATGCAATATTTGTCTCTTTGTGACTGGCTTATTTCACTCAGCATAATGTCCTCAAAGTTGATCCATGTTGTAGCATATGATGGGATTTCCTTTCTTTCAGCTGAGTAGTATTCCATTGTATGTCTATATAACTTTTTTTTTCTTGATGCCTTTTTCTTTTTTTTCTTGTTGCCTTTTTGAAACATCATTGACATAAAACTCTGTAACTCTAAGGTGTGATGATTTGGTGCATGTGTATATTGTGAAATGATTGCCATGAGAAGGTTAGTTAACGCATCCATCCTCTCACATAATTACATTTTGTGCATGGTGTGAACACTGATGATCTGTCTTAGCAGCTTTCATGGTATACACTAGATCCCCAGATTTTATTCTTCTTATAATTGGAAGTCTGGATCTTTGACCAGCATCTCCCTGTTTCCCCCATGTCTTATCTCTTGGCAAAAATCCAATCTATTCTCTGTTCTCTGAGTTTGGCTTTTTTAGATTCTATGTATAAGTGACATCAGGCAATATTTGTCTCTCTCTGCTTTATTTTGCTTAGCATAATGCCCTCAGGGTTCATCTGTGTTTTTGCTAATGGCAGGATAACATAAATGGCTGAATAACATATCATTCAATATATATGTATACAATTTGTCTTTATCCACTCATCTGTCAGCAGACACTTAGATTGTTTCTGTATCTTGACTATTGTCAATAATGCTGCAATGAACATGAGAGTGCAGTAGTCTGTACAAAACTGTGATTTTGTTTCCTTGGGCTATATACTCAGAAAAGGGATTGCTTAAAAAAAAAAGAAGAAGAAGAAGAGGGATTGCTAGATCACATGGTAGTTCTATCTTTATTTTGTTTTTTATCAATATTTTTGTTGAAGTATAGTTGATTCACAATGTTAGTTTCTGCTATACAGCGAAGTGATTCAGTTATATACATGTAAAAAGTACTCATTTCCATTATGGTTTACCATAGGGTACTGACTATAGTTCCCTGTGCTATACAGTAGGACCTCGTTGTTTATCCATTCTCTGTATACAAGCTTACATCTGCTACTCTAACCTCCCACTCCGTCGCTCTCCAGACTCTCTCCCACCGTGGCAACCACCGGTCTGACTTCCATATCTGAGATTCTGCTTCATAGATAGATTCATTTGTGTCATATTTTAGATTCCGCATGTAAGCACTATCATGTGGTATTTGTCTTTCTCTTTCTGACTTACTTAATGTGATTATCTCTAGTTGGATCCTGTTTTATATTTTTTGTAAAGATCCTCCATATGTTTTCCATAGTGTTTGCACTAATTTACATTCCCGCCAACAGTGCACAGGATTCCAGGCTCTCCACAGCCTCACTAACACTTGTTATTTCTGGCTTTTTGTTTATTTTTGATCCTAACAGGTACGAGGTGGTATCTCATAGTTTTGACTTCCATTTCCCTGATGATTAGTGATATTGAACATCTTTTCATGTGCTTATTGGCCATTTGCACATCTTTGGAGAAATGTCTATTCAAGTTCTCTGCCCATATAAAAAAAATTTACTATTTATTATTTTTGGCTCCGTTGGGTCTTTGTTGCTGTTCACGGGCTCTCTCTGGTCAAAGAGAGCAGACTCCTCTCTGCTGTGGCGTGCAGGCTTCTCACTGTGGAGGCTTCTCTTGTTGGGGAGCACGGGCTCTAGAGCGCATGCTCACTAGTTGTGGCGTGCAGACTCCAGAGCGCATGCTCACTAGTCGTGGCGTGTGGACTCCAGAGCGCATGCTCACTAGTCGTGGCGTGTGGACTCTAGAGCGCATGCTCACCAGTCGTGGCGTGTGGACTCCAGAGAGCATGCTCACTAGTCGTGGCGTGTGGACTCCAGAGCGCATGCTCACTGGTTGTGGCCTGCGGTCCTCACAGCACGTGAAGTGTTCCGGGAGCAGGGATCGAACCCGTGTCCGCTGCACTGACAGGTGGATTCTCAACACTGGACCACCAGGGAAGTCCCTGCCCACTTTTAAATTGGGTTATTTGTGGGGTTTGGTGTTGTTATTGTTGAGTTGAAGGAGTTCTTTTTATATTCTGGACATTAACCCCTTATCAGATATGCGGTTAGTAAATATTTTCCTCCATTCCATAGGTTGCCTGTTCACTCTGTTGATTGTTTCCTTTATTGCCCAGATGTTTTTAAGTTTGTAGGGCCATTTGTTGTTTTTACATTTGCTGTCTATGCTTTTTGCTTTTTGTGTCATATTCAAGAAATCTGCCAAATTCAGTATCATGAAGCTTTTTTCCTCTATATTTTCTTCTATAAGTTTCAGGTCTTACATTTATGTCTGTAATTCATTTTGAGTTCATTTCTTTAGGTAGTGTAAACTAAGGCCCAACTTCATTCTTTTTCATGTGGGTGTTCAATTTTCCTACCACCATTTGTTAAGGAGACTTTTTTATTTTGTAATATTTAGGAATAAACTTAAGTAAGTGGGATTGCTTTCTTGATTTTCACTTCATATTGTTCATTTTTAATGGGTGGAAACGCAAATGCTTTTCTGTGATTTGATTTTGTATCCTGCAATTTTGCTAGCAGTTTTTTCTGTGGAACCTTTGGTGTTTTCTACATATAAGATTATGTCATCTGTGGACAGAGATCATTTTACTTCCTCCATTCCAATCTGGAAGCCTTTTCTTTCTTTTTCCTGCCTAATTGCTCTGTCTAGGACTTCCAGGACTGTGTTGAATAGAAGTGGCAAGATTCCTAATCTTCAAAGGAAAGCTCTCAGCTCTTCACCATTGAGTATGATGTTAGCTGGAGCTTTTCATATATGGCCTTTATTTTATTGAGGTAATTTCCTTCTATTCCTAGTTTATTTGAGTGTATTACCTCTTGACCAGACTATTAGAATAGTTGAGTAGCTTGTCTTCCTGCCTGCTGTGCTTTCTAATATCTCCAAGCCACAGAGCGTGTAGAAATAGCCTGGGGGAATTAGAACCAGCCACCTGAAGGGAAGCTGGAGTGTAGGGGGTGGGCAAGCAGCACGTGGCCTGCTGCTTTCCTGCTCGGAACCAGGGAAGCCAAGAGCTGTGGAGTCGAGCTTTCCTCTAGCCTCATGAGGACGCTATCCCTCAGGCCCTGCCCCTCAGGAGCCTCTTGCCCCACCCACAGCCCCTTTGGCCCCGCCCCATTTGGCTCCCCCCATTCCAGCCCCCTGCCCCTGCCCAAGAGAACCTCGCATTATTCAACTTTCAGCACCCTGGGAGGAGGATGAGATCCGCAGGGACCGAGTGGAGCCCCAGAGTGTGTCTCTGTCGTGGCGGGAACCTATCCCCGCGGGAGCCCCAGGGGCCAACGGCACCGAGTATGAGATCAGATATTTCGAGAAGGTGAGTCTGGTTCTGGGAGGGACCTGGGGTTGTATTGCCACCTGCGATCTGTCCCCCTCTTCTGCCGGCTTCCTTTTCTTTACAAGCCCCTCCCAAAGTAAGTCCTCTTTGCTTTGTCTCTTAAACGTCTCCACTGGCCCCCTATCGGCCTCCCCAGCTGGAGTTTCTTCCTGGCCGCCCCTCACCGTGGACACACAGCTCTCGCTCTTTCCTCGGGTCTTCTTTCGGTAACCCGTCATCGTGTCCATTTTCACCACTAATGCCTGGTGTTTACAGTTGACAAAAAGCTTCCTCTGGGGGCTGATCCAGACTTTCTGTGGCTGGATTCTGTGCATAGTTTGCAACCCTTTTAAGAAAAAGAATGCAGAGACATATTGTTTCAAATTTTATGGAAAAGTACCACTGTGGGAATATGTTGCCAGGTCTGGTGGTGTGCCAGAGCTCAGCATAAATAATATGCTGAGAAATAAAGTACTGATAAATGTTTAACAGCCAGCTCTCACAGCAATGAATGTAGGCATTCACATTTTAATTTTACTGATATGGAGACTGTGTAACCAATCATTTACAAATACTAATAGGAAGTATACAGTGTTCCTTATTGTAAACTCTATAGGGCCAGTTGATTCTCCTAGGACACTTTTTCTTGATTTTGGCTGACTTCTTGTATCTGTGATCAGTCTATAGTTGCAGCTCAAGGGTGGTTTAACAAGTGGACTTAGGTCCAGATCCACTGTCTCTTTTCTGCATAAGTTTATTGTCTTTGAATTTGATAGGTAATCTACAGTTAAATTGTTCTCACTCTGGTGCCAATTGTATTCGTTCAAGCAAAACTTTGCTTTCAGTTTAGCACTGCATGTGTTAGAATTTCACTCCCTCCTCAGAGACTCTGGGGAGTTCTTTGCTGAATCAGATAACAGATTTTGAAAAGAGAAATCTGGAGAGCTGTGAACTGAGAGAGAGAGGAAGTTGGGGGCTTTCAACCCAGAGATAGTAGCTGAAGCCAAAGGACCTGAGGGGATGGCCAAGGGAGGGGGGCTTGAATGAGAGCAGCGGCTGGGACAGGGTTCTGGGGGTCCCTGACGTCAAGGAGACTACAGCAAAGGTCACTGGGAAGGAGCCAAGCAGGCGGCAGTTGCTTAGAAAGGGCTCACTGAACTGACACTCGGGGATCAGAGCATAGATGCAGTCCGAGTGCTGAGCTGGGTGGACGCTCCCTGGCCCACAGGGAGTGTGAATTTGCTGGGAACAAAAACCCTTGAGAAGAGGAGCCAGTACAAAAGGGGCTGTGTTTGAAAGGCTTCAGGAGCGTCTCATGGAGCCTGACGACCAGAAGCGTGGCAGGAGTCACCAGCCCTCATCTCTGAGTTCTCTCCATACCAACCCCACCTCCTCTGCAGGGAGGGTTGTTCCTAGCACCTTGCAGCCGCCCAGGCTGGCAGCCCCTTTTCCCTTCCCCTCCCCAAGCCTGCTTATAAGTTCTGCAGCCAGGGCCTCACTGTCTTTCCATGGTATGTTCAGGGGCCCAGAAGGGAGATTCTGATTGGCCCAGCTTGGGCCAGAGGAGTCTGCCCTGATTCCTGAATACTGGGACCGTAGAAGTGGGGCCACAGGTATAGGGGAGATGCACCTTTGGGGGCTGTGAGTGTGGCAGGGGCTCTAATCAAGGGGTGTGTGCAGAGATGAAATGATGGCAGCATGTCCAGCACGCACCATTATTGGTTGTGTTGGGGGCAGGATGACATAGTGCACAGAGCACAGGACCTAAAGGAATTGAGAAGGTGTCTCCCCGCCCCTTCCCTGATGGGAGCATCTCCTATACAAGGAGATAGGAATGCTGGTGTGAGGACCGGAGGAAGTCGGCTCCTATAGGGTCTAGCCCAGAGGTGGGCAGTAAATGGGCCCTTGGTGGGGGGCCGTGGGTGAGCCTCCCAGCCCCTCTGATCTGAATTCCTTATCTGTGAATCCACACCTTGCAGGACATTGTGAAAAGAAAAGCCAACAAGGGCCGGGTGGGTGTCAGGGCTCATTTCCTTCTTCTATCCTCTGAGGGGTCAGGTGTAGCTCCTCCTCTAGGCTGCCAGGCCCCAAGGACCTTCATCCTAGCATCCCTGAGAAGGCCAGCATCTTTTCTTACTCAGAGGTGGGGCTGTTCTCAGTTAAGGTACCACCGAGTATAGGTGGAAACTCGTGGTGGAGAAAGGGGCTGGGGATATTCTGGAAGAAAGCTGTGTGATTCCCCTCAAGATGAGTGGAGTTATTCCAGCAGCCCCGGCTCCTCCTCTCAGGGTACCTCTGTCACCTCCCTACCCCTTCCCCCCACATTCTCCCAGGAGCATGGGGCCAGCCCTGGGTCTGGGCCTCATGTGTCTCTGTCCCTCCCCAGGGTCAGAGTGAGCAGACTTACTCGACGGTGAAGACAGGGTCGCCTGCGGTCACTGTCACCAACCTGAAGCCGGCTACCCGCTACGTCTTTCAGATCCGGGCAGCTTCCCCAGGGCCCTCCTGGGAGACCCAGAGCTTCAACCCCAGCATTGAAGTGCTGACCCCAGGGGAGGGTAAGTGCAAGAGGAGAGAAAACCCAGCCTGGGGCTGGAGCAGGGAGGCAAATTGAGGGGTTATCTGTGCAATTAAGGGAAGCTGCAGAACAGTTCGGTTACAACCTAACGAATGAATGAGACTGGAATCCAGTAACTATGGCTTAGATTGGGTACCCGTCCTGAAAGAACTCAAAGAGGAGGGATCCATGAATAGCTGGAACCCAGGTCTCAGCTGGTGTCTCCCTCCCATGTCTTGAGGACATATCCTCTGCCTCTCCCAAGATTCCTCTCTTTTCTTGGGAGGACTTTTGTTTTCCTGGTCACTTCTTGTCCTCGACCACTAAATTCTTGTTCCCATCCTGCTGCTTTCTCTCTGTTGTGACACAGACTCAAACATGGGCACTGTCCCTCTTCCCACTGCGCCTTAGAGTGTGAAGCCGAGGGGTCAGCCCAGCTTACCCTCTGGACTGCCAGGCCCTGATGTCCATCACCCCAGCATCCAGCCTTCCCTGAGGGTTGGGGCACACCAAGGGAGTGTCACCTGCAGGAATAAGCCAAACGAAAACACCAGAAGTGGTTAAGACTCCGAGCTTTCACTGCTAGGGCCCGGTTCAATCCCTGGTCAGAGAGCTAAGATCCCACAAGCTGCGTGGTGTGGCCAAAGGCAAACAAACCAACAAAACACCAGGAGAACTGCACACTTTCAATGGTCGAATTGTATGGTGTGAGAATAATTTCTCAATAAAGTTGTTATCAAAACAAAGCAAAACAAGAACTGAACATCAGATATTCCTGATCCTAAAAGAGTTCCAGCTCTTGGCCATGGTGCGGTACCACCCCTCCTCCCCTGGTTTCCCTGCCCTGGTTCCTCCTCCCCCCCACCCCCCCAACTCCCCAACCCCCCAGAACCCTTCCTGATGTGCACAGAGCATCTAGTGCTTTCTTTTGGTCTCCTGCCACTAACCTAGCCCTCAGGATCTCACCCCTATCTACCCTGAGCAGCTCATGAAAGTATTTTTCCTGGACAAAAGGCAGTTTGCCGTAAGAGGCATCCTGGCACCAGCTGTCAAGATAATAATTCTTTCCAACCTGCTACACGAGTCGAATCCAAGATAGAAAGAGTTCTGAGCCCAGAGGGAGGTGGAGATAAAGTGTTGAGGGAGTTTGCCTTCTGGGAAGGAGACAGCCCTTCTTGCTCGAATGCCTGTCTGTGCCAGACCCCAGCCAGGTGCTGGTGAGAGGGGATTAGAGCTGGGTCTTGAAGGCTGGGGAACGTTGGAGTTCTTCGTGGGGAGGTGGGCTGGGAAGGCATCTTGGAGCGTGAGAGGTGTTAGAACAGAGGCTCGTGAGCTGGGCTGGAGTGGATGTGGTGGAGGGTGGGCGCTGGGGGCCGGTAGTTGAAGAGGACTGATGAGTTCTGTTAATCTGGTGCTTCTCTGTCAGTGGATCCCTGGGTCTGGAAGATCCCCTGGAGAAGGAAATGGCAGCCCACTCCAGTATTCTTGCCTGGGAAATCCCTTGGACAGAGGAGCTTGGCGGGCTGCAGTCCATGGGGCCACAAAGAGTCGGACCCAAATGAGCTACTGGGCGCACACAGTTGGTAGAGCACCGAGTCGGCTGTCAGAGTCAGAGTTGGCTGAGCACACATGCTGCTCAGCGCCTGGCCTCCTCTGCTGTGGCCCTGGCTACAGAGAGCAGTTCCCCAATCACAGAGCCCTTTTTCCAGTGAGCTGTGACCCCAAGTCAAGATCACGAGGAGGACCATGCTGCACCGCTGTACTAGTTAAACCACTGTTGTGTAGCAAATTACCCTCAAACTCAGCAGCCAGAAACAACCTTCATTCATCATCTCATGGTTTCTGTGGGTCAGAAATATACGCATGGCATAGCTGCGTGCCCCTTGGGTAAGGCCCCTCACTGCAGTCCAGGTGTCCTCTAGGGCTGCGATCATCTCCAGGCTTAACTGGGGCGGAGTGGAGGGGACTTGAGGGAAGGAGTGTGTGCTTTCCTAGTTGGGCTCTTGCTGGCTGCTTGATGGAGGCAGGCACAAGATTCCTAGGCTTCTCCAAGAGCTGCTTATAACCCAGCAACTAGATTCTTGTAGAGACTGTGAGAGAGAGAGGGAGCAAGAGGGCGCCCAAGACAGAAGCTGATTTCTTGTAACCTAATCATGGTGGTGACATCCCATCACTTGTGCTGTATTCTGTTCATTAGAAGTGAATGACTGTGTTCAGCCCATGCTCATGGGGGAAGGAACACCAGGGTGTGGAGAATCCTGCAGGGCCATCTCAGAGGCTGCTGGCCACACCGATTTTCCCTGCATCCTCCAATTCCTTGTCCACCAGGGCAGCTCATTTCAAACAGTCCTTGGCAACTGTTCCGTCTTCTGCCACCAGCCAGGCCCGGGACCCTATTCCCCATCTCTGAAATCTGTTCTTTGACCCTGACCTTGTTGGCCTCTGACCCTCCCTTTCTCTCCTGTCGCTCTTCCTCACTTGCTGTGTGGCGTCCTAATAGCAGCTGTTGGGATGTGACCGCATCTGTCGGGCTCCCAGCCCCTCCTGGCCCCACGATCATCTCTCCCTAGCCTCTGTGGACTCTCCTGGCTGAAGCGCTCTTCAGCCCTGCTGGCTCCCATTCCCCAGACATTATTTTGCACCCACCCCACTGTCCCCAGGACTGGATCTCCTCTATCATCCCTTGCCAAGGCTGCCTGCTAAAGTGTCTTTTTCTTTTTTATTATTTGTATTTTTAAAGTGTCTTTTTCTAATCCCAGTTTATTCGTCAGGGCTGTGTAGCATCTTTCCCATTCCTGACAGTTATCCCAAACCTTTATCTCTTCCAAGCACCCCCTCTCCCTCCCCACTCCTGACCCAGCAGATTCCCTCATTCCTCTCCTTGTGGGAAGGAACTCTGTCCACTGCTCTGGGCTCCCTGATACTCTCAAGATAAAGCTCACCCTCCTGGCCTAGCAATCAAGGCCGTTCTGGTTCTGTTTCCTCCCCCAGTTCCCTTCATCTTCCTGCCTTCCAGCTTTATCTCTTCATATCTTGCATTTCTGCCTCCGTGCAGCCTGCTTTCCAGCCACATGGGATTCCCTGTTGTTTTTCCAGACCCAGCAAGTGCATCTAAGCATCATCAACAACCCTGTCCATCTTCCATGTCCAGTGCAGATGATGCCTCTTCTGCAAAGCCTTCCCCATTGGCTTTAGGAAGAAGTGATTGTGCCTCTGCTCAGCTCTGCTCCTGTTTCCGTTTCTTTTTTCCCATTGATTTTTCATTTCTGTCTCCCCTGCTGGTTGGTACACCCCTCCAGGGCAGGGATTCTGGCTCATCCATTGCTGACTCCCCAGAACCACTGCCAGCCTGGCGCATGTGTTGGATGGATGGATGAGTGGATGGGGCTGAGGGCCTGGGGTCCTCTTGGCTCCTCTGCTGGAGAAATAGTTCAGTGCAGAGGCTTTGCGAATCAGGCTTGAATCTTAGGGTCACTGTTTATTGGCTTTGTGACCTTGGGCAAATTACACAACTTTTCTCGATGTCAGTTTTCTCAGCTGTAAAATGGGGACAGTTCACTTTCCTGGCTTCTTGTGATGATGAAACAGGATTGTTTAGTTATGTCATATAAGTGTGCATTAAATGTTAATTCATCATTATTGTTGTTAGAGAGGATGAGGTGGTTAGGTAGCTTCACTGGCTCAATGGACATGAATTTGAGCAAACTCCAGGAGATAGTGGAGGACAGGGGAGCCTGGGTGTGCTACAGCCATGGGGTTGTAAAGAGTCGGACATGACTAGCAACTGAACAACAACAAAAATTGTTGATGGCAGTTCTGGATTGGGGTTGGGGAGCTTGGAGTAAAGGCCATGCCCCTGCAGAGCCACTGTCCTTGTGCATCTATAAGGCAAAAAGGAAGGCCCGAGTCTGCCTGTCTGGACGCCCGCTCCTCTCTCTCAGAGCTGGGCTGCAGTAGGAGTGCCCCGCCCTGCGAAAGGACAAAGCTCCAGGTACCACTGCGGTTGGTGGGGGCAGCCTTGGTCCCTGGCCGCTGGGAGGCCGGGCCGAGGGTGGAGGTGCTGTGGAAATCCTGCTATGGGGTGAGGACAGGCATCTGTTCTGGGGCTTACCTGGGAGCCTGGTCCTCTGCCTCTCTCAACCTCGTGGTTTTCCTCCCAGCCACCTCCGGGTCCAAGGACCAGAGCCCCGCGGTCGTCGTCACCGTGGTGACCATCTCAGCCCTCCTCGTCCTGGGCTCTGTGATGAGTGTGCTGGCCATTTGGAGGAGGTAGGTGACTGGTCCCAGCCTGGCTGTCCCCTGGCGGGCTCTGTCCCTGCCCTCAGGCGCCTGTATCTCTATCTGCATTTGCACACGTGCGGATTTGCACCGTGGGAGCATACCGCCATGTAGAGACAGGCCTGACTGGTGCTGTCCTGGCTCCTCCCCCCACGGCCTGCTCCTGCTCAGCTGCTGTGGGATGAAGGGGATTTAGCTTCTTCCCTCATTAAATGTCAGAAGGCATCGCTGCAGAGGGAATCAAGCTCCGGCTGCTCCGGTGTGATTGGGAGCCTCCTGAGGCGCTCAGAGGCCCCCAGCCCCTGCCCCCAAGGGATCTGGAGGCCCTTGAACACAGGCAGAGGGAAGAAAGGCAGAAACTGTGTGTGTGTGTATGTGTGTGGGAACAGGGAGAGCAGGGCGGGGAACTCATATGCCAGAAACCCCCAAGCCCCAGAGGAAGGAAGCTGGCAGGAGAGTGGGCAGAGAAAGGGGATGGGCAGAGGGGGAAAGATATGGGGCTTGGGTCTGGCTCAGCAAAGATAGAGTCCCTCTGGCAGAGGCACCCCAGGTGGGTTCCAGGCTGGGGCTGAGGTCGGCAGACTGGAGGGGTTGGGAAGGCTGCATGTGACAGGCTGGAGTAGGGGGAGAAGAGAAGAGGCATGAGCTGGTCTGGGAGCTACACGTCAGCATCCTGGAACTGCCTGCAGGCCGGAGGGGCAGCGAGCTTTCATCTGGCTCAGATGGGATTATTTGCTTGGCCTTAAGTGAGGCACTGAAAGTGACTGAGGAGGAGAGGATCTGGGAGCCAGCTCTGCCCTGGCCAGGTGAGTCAGGAAAGCAGGACAAGAGTAGAATATCCTTGATCACGGAGCTTAAAGGTCCATAGATGAGACCCGTTAGAAAAGCGGGAATGGACAGGAGCTGGGAGCAGCTTGTTTTGGCCGTGAGCTCAGGAGAGGATGAGGGAGAGGTAAGCCAGAAGGGCATCTTTGGCCAGAGGCTGCAAGACAGGAGCAGCTGCCCAGGAGCACCTCGGAGACCGCTGCACTAGAGCAGGTGGGGCAGGCCAGGCGTGGATTTCAAAACCTACTCAAAATCAAATGGCACCAACATGGGAATCACACGTCTCCAACACGCATGTCCCAGCGTCCCTCACCCATCTCTTCTGCTCCCCATCTCTGCAGTACCTGGCTCTGTATAGTGGGCTCCTCACCTCCACTTGCCCTCCCAGTTGATCCTGGCTCACCCCAGTTCTCACCAGGGGGTGCCATCATCAGGTGGAACTGTCTCGCTTTCTCTGCCACTTCTCCAGCCACCCGGCCTTGCCCCTTGCACCCCTCCCCAGCTCTCCCGGATGTTCGTGGAAGTCCTGTTCCCACGCTGGATGACCTCACTAGCCATTGGACAACCTGCCCCAGCCCTTGGCCTCTGGGCCTTTGACTTCTTTTCCACAGGCCCTCTCTCCTGTCTCCTGGGCCATCACCCCAGTTCTGCTTGTGTCCTGCAGGCTGCCAGTCCTCGCGGCTCGCTCTCTCAGCCGTGTCTGTTGCACCTGCTCTTTACCTGCACCGCTGAGTCTGCACACCTGCCTATCTCTGCATCTGTCCTCTCCCTCCATTTCTCTAGAGGAAGTGCCATCCTCCCAGCTGGGATCAGTCCTCCTACCTGAGGCTGTAACCACCCCTTCCTACCTTCTCAGGAGCTCTTACTGTTGATCACGTCCACTTCTTCCCTGTATGCTGGCCGACATTTGTTGAGTGCTTAGTAAGCTCTTGGCGCCAGTGTGATCAGGCAGGGCTGTCTTGATCCTCATCTTATTAAAGAGAAAACCAGCCATCTGGTCTGCAAACAGCGAGGGAAGGTCCTAGGAGCTGGTCCATGCCATCAGATTCCAGAGCCCATGCGGGGGACCGCCGTCATGACCACACCACCCTGCATGATCGCTTCCGCAGGGAGTTTCCCTCACCTCTCCTCCTTGAGTCTTCACATGACCTTGCTCTTCTGATGCTGTTTCCTTCCTTGCTTCCTGTGACATCGCTGCCTCCCTGCCACCCCCCATTTCCGTCCTATTTCCCTCCAGTTTCTCTGGTGGTTCTTTCACAGTCTCCTCAGTGGCTTCCTTCTCTGTTGTGCTGTTAGTCACTCAGTCCAGTTCTTTGCGACCGCATGGACTGTAGCCCACCAGGCTCCTCTGTCCATGGGATTCTCCAGGCAAGAATACTGGAGTGGGTAATCGTTCCCTTCTCCAGGGGATCTTCCTGACCCAGAGATGGAACCCGGGTCTCCTGCACTGCAGGCAGATTCTTTACCATCTGAGCCACCAGGGGAGCCCTCCTCTCCTCTTCCCTATCTCTAGATGGTGGGGGTCCTCAGACTTGTCACCTTTCCCACTTCTCAGGTTCCCTCCTCTCGCTGGACAATGCCCCCAGCTCCAGAACTTGTATCTCCAGAGCAGACCCTTCTAAATGGCCCCCGCCACCCCCACCCCCGCCACACATAGCTAACTCCCTGCTCACTGATCAGCCCTGCTTATCCCAGAAGTGCTGTGAACTCAAATATCTAGACAGGAACTTGTCGTCGTTCCATCTTGGTAAATGGTACCCGCCTGACTTCACTGGGCAAGCCGGAACACTACTGTGGTTCCTACCTTTCCCCTCTCCTTTTCTGACCTCTAGCCTTCCCCAAGCCCTGTGGCCCTGACACCTCAGTGTCACTCTTACTTTTCTCCATCCATGGTCACCCCATAGCCTGAGCCATCTCCTGCCATCTCCCGCGGGAACAGTAGCAGCAGCTGGGATGATCTTTCTAAAGTGCGAATTGAACCGTGGCATCCCCCTGCTCAAACCCGCCTCCCCCGGAGGCTCTCCTCTTCCCCACCCCCAGAATAAAACCACAGTCTTTATGTGGGCCTGCAGGACCCTGCCTCAGGGAGCCCCGGATGCCAGCCCATGGCTTTGTTGATGGTGATGCAGTCCTTTGGCCCGCAGTGGCCTCTCTCTCGGGAAGCCGTCCTTGATGGTCTCAGCCCTGTCTCAGCTACATGATCCCACAGTGCACTGCCCTTCTCCTTTGCTTGGACCCGTGAGTGGGCTTGTCGTTCCTTCTCAAGGTCTGTTTTCTTGACTAGACTGGAAGCTGCCCGTGGGCTCAAGGCCTGCCTGTTGTGTTCAGCTGTAGGCAGGGAGGCAGCTTGGGCTGAAGTCAGGGCTTGGGCTTGAAGTCTCTGAATTTGCAAGAATTCATGGAGTCTCAAAGTGAAAGTAACTAGGAATGCGGAGGGGGTGAGTGGTTAGGTCTGGGGCTGGGGTTACATGTGTGCTGGGGGGAGAAGCTTCCAGACCCGCAGGACGAGAAAGTCCCTCCCCTGGGGCACAGACCCTGTCCTTTTGGGACAAAGAGGTGCTGCCCTGGATGCTGGTGAGATGGGAAGGGCTGGGACAGCCTGGCTCAAAGGATGACTGTGGACACCCTCACTCCCATCCCCTACCCCAGGCCCTGCAGCTATGGCAAAGGAGGTCGGGACGCCCACGATGAGGAGGAGCTGTATTTCCACTGTGAGTTGTCTGGGCCTGGCCCGGGGCGGGGCGGGCACCACCTCACCTTACTTCCTCAGTCCTCTTCCTGACTCCCCTTGCTTCAGTTCAGTTCAGTTCAGTCACTCAGTCATGTCCGACTCTGCGACCCCATGGACTGCAGCACACCAGGCTTCCCTGCCCATCACCAACTCCCAGAGTTTACTCAAACTCATGTATATTGAGTCTGTGATGCCATCCAACCATCTTATCCTATTGTCCTCTTCTCCTCCTGCCTTCAATCTTTCCTAGTATCAGGGTCTTTTAATGAGTCCGTTTTTTGCATCATGTGGCCAAAGTATTGGAGTTTCAGCTTCAGCATCAGTCCTTCCAATGAATATTCAGGACTGATTTCCTTTAGGATGGACTGGTTGGATCTCCTTGCAGTCCAAGGGCCTCTCAAGAGTCTCCTCCAACACCACAGTTCAAAAGCATCAATTCTTTGGTGCTCAGTCCTTGCATACCTCCCCCCCACCACCCCCCATTGCTCCAACTGCAGAGGCCCTTTTCCTCACTCCCATCTCTTTCTCTTCATTGCCAGTCAAAGTCCCAACTCGCCGCACATTCGTGGATCCCCAGAGCTGTGGGGACCCACTGCAGGCCGTGCATCTGTTTGCCAAGGAGCTGGATGCAAAAAGCGTCACGCTGGAGAAGAGCCTTGGAACAGGCAAACTGGGCACCCGGGGAAGCCCTGCCTCCACCCCCTGCCAGCCCTCCCTGGAAGCCCCTCCTCCACCCCACCCCACCTCTATCCTGTTAGCCTGCCTCCACCCCAAGTCCTGTCCCCATCTCTGCAGGCCTGGGCTTCATCCGGTCCCCATGCTGTCCAGGAAGCTCCCGCCTCCACATCAAGCTGGGCCTCTGCCCACAGGGTCCAGGGAGGGAGGTGGCAGAGGAATCTGTGACCCTGCCTTCCTCCCCTTTGCCTGCCCCCAAGGTCAGAACTCTCTCCCTTCAGGCCCTTTCAGGGCTGGCTCTGCAGACTGCCACTGGCTGAAGTTTGGTCCCGGGCTTTCAAGGCCCGATGGGGAGGGGCGTTTGCAAGCTTGGGCTCCAGGCATACCTGAGTTCTAGCCCTGGCTCTGCCACTGCTTCATGACGGACGGGCTCATCCGTCTTCTGCTCTGAGCCTCAGTTTCTCATCTGTTAAATGGGCGTGATATCTGCCTCAGAGCTGTTGTGGGAGCATCCCAGCACTCAGCCCAGGGCCTGGCTCCTAGCGGGTGCGTGCTCTCTCACGATCAGTGCCCTGGCTTCCTTGCTTCACATCTGCAAGCCCTCCGCCCCTGTGCTGAGATGGCAGCGCTTTCACCAGGAGCCCAACACTCTATCCCAGCACTGTCGGCAGATTCGCTGGGCAGAGGCCAGAAAGGGGCAGCGTGGTGGAATAGATGTCATGATCACCCAGCACGCCTTTGATGTGCGGGCACGTGCATAGTCCTCTCTTGGAGGATTTGAAATTTCCCACCGAGGGAGGCAAGGAGGACTTCCCATTTCACAGAGGAGAAAACTGAGGCCAGAAGAGGGGCAGAGCAAAAGTCCACATCAGGCAGTCAGTACTCAGTTCACCAGGATTGAACTCAGGAGGCCCCAGTCCCAGGCCAGAAAAGGCCCGTGAGCCAGAAGCTGCTCACCCTGCCTGGGTTGGCCGAGGCAGCGGCCTCCGGGGGGTGTCTGAGGTGCTGTTCTCCCCCAGGGCGGTTTGGGGAGCTGTGCTGTGGCTGCCTGCAGCTCCCAGGCCGCCAGGAGCTCCCCGTGGCTGTGCACACGCTGAGGGAGGGCTGCTCCGACTCGCAGAGGCTCAGCTTCCTGGCCGAAGCCCTCACCCTGGGCCAGTTTGACCACAGCCATGTGGTACGACTGGAGGGCGTGGTCACCCGAGGTAGGGCCGGTGCTCCACCAGCATGGGTGGGTGGGTGGGGGAGGAGCCCTCGGTGTGGGAGGTGGGGTGCGCCGCGCCCCCAGGCCCTCTCTGCTCAGTCATGGGAGGGCGCCCCGACGCGGCCCAGCATGGGGAGAGGAGCTCAGGTCTCCGTCACTGACTCACGTGGCCTCTGACCCTGCGTGATCTCTGAATGCATGGTGACACTCTGGGGGTGCATCCCCGGTGATGTCCCCTGGCTTACTTGCTGCACATCCTCACCTTGGCCTTTGTCCCCCCCAGACGCCACCTCTCCGGCTGTTTAGCAGAAGGGGGCAGGCAGGAGGTGGCGAGACTCAGGGAGCTGGGCCTCGGTCCTGGCCACCTTGGCGCGGGGCGGGGAGTAGGGAGCATGTGTGCTCACAGAGGGCAGCAGGCACCTGAGTGTGTGTGTCCCCCTCCCTGACCACAGGAAGTACCTTGATGATTGTCACCGAATACATGAGCCATGGGGCCCTGGATGGCTTCCTCAGGGTGAGTGGCCTGGGCCCCAGGGGGTACCGATGACTGTGGTTCTCTTGGTCCCTCACTTTTCCCTTTGGTGGGACTTGGGGTCGGCCTCATCCTCTGTAGAGATGCCCTCTGGCCAGGCTGACCTGGCAGGTGACGCGGCCTGACTGAAGCCCAGAGCAGGCCAGTGAGTTCTCTGGGGTCACACAGCACCAGGGAAGCGAGGGTGCAGCCAGGCCTCCGTCTCCTCCCTCCCAGCGGCATGAGGGCCAGCTGGTGGCTGCGCAGCTGATGGGGCTGCTGCCTGGCCTGGCGTCGGCCATGAAGTACCTGTCGGAAATGGGCTACGTCCACCGGGGCCTGGCGGCGCGCCGGGTGCTGGTCAGCAGCGAGCTCATCTGCAAAATCTCTGGCTTCGGCCGGGGCCCCCGGGACCGAGCAGAGGCGGTCTACACCACCATGGTGAGGGAGCCCTCCCCCGCGCCCCGCTTCCAGGCTGTGGTAGGGTCACTCCCGCCCCTCCCTCCCGCTGTCCGCGCCAGCATGGCCTTGCCTGCGGTCCCCTTGTGGGTTCTCCCTTAGATGAGCAGCTGGGGGCACGGCAGGTGGGGTGGGTCCCGTGGCACTCTGCGGGTGAGGAACGCTGGCTGTGACTCCGGCCTCCCTGCCCCTGATCGTCTGGCCCGCCTGCCCACAGAGTGGCCGGAGCCCAGCGCTGTGGGCCGCCCCTGAGACGCTTCAGTTTGGCCACTTCAGCTCCGCCAGCGACGTGTGGAGCTTCGGTGTCGTCATGTGGGAGGTGATGGCCTTCGGGGAGCGGCCCTACTGGGACATGTCTGGCCAAGATGTGAGTGACTGGAGTGGCTCCAGCTCCTTGCCTTCCGATCCTGTTGACCTCAGGCCCTGGCTCCCTGACCTCTGCCCACGAACCCTTGACCTCTTAACCCCAGGCCCCTCTTCACTGTCTGTTGTTTCCAGTCCCTGCCTGGTCACCATTTGAGTCTTCCTGGGGATGGGGTAAGTGTGTGTACTGGGGAACCTAAAACCTCCTGTCTGCCCACTGCTGCCCCCCGCCACACGGCCTAGGTGATCAAGGCCGTGGAGGATGGCTTCCGGCTGCCACCCCCCAGGAACTGCCCCTCCCCGCTGCACCGGCTGATGCTTGACTGCTGGCAGAAGGACCCGGGCGAGCGGCCCAGGTTCTCCCAGATCCATGGCCTCCTGAGCAAGATGATGCAGGACCCGGAGCCCCCGAGGTGTGCCGACACCACCTGTGCCAGGTACGGCGTCCCCTCACCTGTCCCAGGTGCCTTCCCCACTGTGCCAATACCGCTGAACTCTGACCTGTCCGTGCATGCCCTCCCACCCCACGTACAGCCACGCCCCTGTCCTACCCCACCTGTGCAGATACGACTGCTTGCTCAGGTGCCCCAGGCAGACCTAATACTCCCACCACCTTAGGCACATACAGCTTTTCATCTCAGTCATTTCTGCTTGCCCTGGGTTTTGCCTGACGTATCCCGGGTACAGTGACCATGTAAGTAAATGTGGTGATAGTCCTAACAAATCTGTAGTTCAGATAATACAGGTCACCTCCCCAACCTGCCTGCGTATATCCTACCCCAGACCGTGCCAGACACTCCCGGTGCCTTTAGCTGGCTCCTGTGCAGCCCCCTCTCTGCCTCCCCTGGTGTCATGAGCCCCTGCTTGGCTCTGAGAACACCTGGAACCCAGTGTGAGCCAGGCCTGCCCTGGGACTCGGTCATCTCCTCGGATATCCTGTCCTCAGATGACCCATCCATTATCTCCTCAGATGACATCGCCTGTCCTTTCTCAGAGTGACTGGGTCTGGGCCCCAAGTCCCTACTGTTGACTGACCACAGCTCCTCCACCCCCCAACCCAGGCCTCCCACGCCCCTGGCAGATCGTGCCTTCTCCACCTTCCCCTCCTTTGGCTCTGTGGGTGCATGGCTGGAGGCCCTGGACCTGGGTCGCTACAAAGACAACTTCGCTGCTGCGGGCTATGGGAGCCTAGAGGCTGTGGCCGCCATGACTGCCCAGTGAGTCTGAGGAACCCGGGGGCCCTGCCCCTGCCTGCATGGGAGGCCCCACCTGTCCTCATTCTGGGTCTTTCCCCGGGCGGGGGGGAAGGTGGAAGGGAGAGAAGATGGGGAGGTGGGAGGGAGAGAAGACAGTGGGGATGAGCCAGCTAGATCTGACCAGCCTTCTCCCCAGGGACCTGGTGAGCCTGGGCATCTCGTCGGCGGAACACCGGGAGGACCTCCTCAGCGGGATTGGCGCTCTGCGGGCCCGGGTGCTCCAGCTGCAGGGCCGGGGGGTGCAGGTGTGAGCAGCCCCACTCTCCTGGCCAGGACCCCAGGGGGGGTCCCAGCCCCCAGCCCCACCCAGGGCCCCTGCTGGCTGCGTTCCACCTGTGCGGAAGGGAGAGCCCAGAGCTTGAGTGGAGCCGCAGTCTTTCCCACCTCCCTGCCTGTTCTCACTGCCCCCGGTCTGAGCACCTTGGCTGACTCAGCCTCCCCTCCCGCCCTCCCATAGAAAAAAGGTTCAAATCCTGGGGAGGACCTCTGAGATACAGTGGGAGGAAATGCAGGGTCACAGAGACCCAGGTGGGCAGGGGCAGGGAGGAGGACCTAGCTTTAAATGCCCTGATTCATGCCCATCTGTCTTCTGCACCCACTGGAGTCTGGGGCCCACCCCAAAGGGTGCCACACTTTCCCTCAGAGCAGCGGGCAGCCTGGGTCCCCGAGGGATGGGCCGCTCTGGGACCTAGCAAGGATACCCGTCCTCGTGGGCCATGGCTCCTCAGCTCCCTGTGGTCCAGCTAGGCCCTGTCCTGAGACCCAGGCAGGCAGAGGTGGTGCTGAGGGCCCTGAGGACCCCGGACTCAGGAGCTGATTTCTGCATCCCCCACCCTTGGGCCGACCATCCTGGGTGAGGGTCCCGGTGCTCCCCTGAGGTCCCGCTAGGCGTCCCCTGCTACTTTGCGTTCCTTTTATAAACTCACCGGGCAGGACATCTGAGAGGAACATGAGGAGAGAGGTTTTCTGCCTGGGACTCCGAGAGCTTTGCTCCCAGCCCTGGGGATCGTGAAGATGTGACTCTCAGAGAAGGAGCTTCTCCAACGGGCCAGTTCAGTCCTTACTGTACCAGAGGGAAGACCGAGGCTCAGTGAGGAGTCTGGGCCAGAGCTGGGCTTGAGCCCACGGGCCCAACTCCTGATCCGGAGTGAGACTGGCTCTGGAGAGACTGCTTGGTCCTCCGTGTGCCACCAGCACTCTTCCCTGAGGCAGCCCAGGGGCACTGAGGTGACCCCTCTTGCAAGCTTCATCCCCTGTACCACCCAGCCCCCATGAAATGCCTCCTCACTCTGGGTCCTCTTCTGTGGGGCTTGTGCTGAGGAGTGGTTGCACTGAGCTGACTCCAGAGCTCCTCATCCAGGAGGGCTTCCTGGAGGTGGGGGTGATCATGAGGCCAGGGCTTTTGTAGGACAGAAGGAAGGCGACTGGCCCTGGATAGGGTCACCCCTGACATACACCTGCTCTGGGGTATGGCTATGTGTGGGTGGGATGGGATGAGGTGGGAAGGGTTCAAGGGCTACAGGAGGGGGTGAAGGAGACACAGCCAGCCCTTGGAGGGCCCAGACGAGGCAGGGAGATGAGCTCAGGCTCCAGGAAGTACTGCACACCCCCAGTGGCAGACCTTGGGGCCTGAGGGTTGGTGGGCCAGAGGGGCAGATGGGCACTCTTGATGTATGTACATGGAAGGGTGTCTGGGAAAGTTCCCTGGCTGAGTCTGATGCATCCATTGAATGGGACCTTGGAGGAGCCAGAGGAGGACTCTTTACTTAGGGTTGCTGGAGGGCCTGGGACAGAAGGAGTCCAAGCAGAGGGCCCTGCAGAGGGTCCTGGAGCGGGGAAGAGGCAGCACATCCCTGGGAGTGCTCCATGGTGGGGGCAGAGCCTCCCAACAGTGCCTTTAGCCTCATCCTGCCAGCAGGGCAGGAGTCCCCCAGCCCCGCTCTCCATCTCCTGAGCACCTGCCTCGGCTCAGTGTCCTGGGGGTGCCAGGAGAGGCTGAGACACTGCTTCTACCTTTGACAGAGCTGGAGGGTCCCTTGCCAGTGCCCTCCAGACTCTGCCCCCACTGCCCCCAGGAGAGCCAGGAAAGGACACACCAGCACCCCGTCTTGGTGGAGGGAGCCTCACCCCACCTACAGCTGCATCAGCCATGCTCTGGAGGCCAGGGCGTCCCCCCCTCCACCAGCTGTTCTGCAGAGTCCCCTGGCTGTGTTGGCAGGACTTCGGTGTCCAGGGTAGACCTCCGTTCCCGTGAGGAGTGAGGTCCCAGCATCCTGACGGGTCCCAGGCCTCAGCCCCACACAGGTTGCTGGTGTGATGTGGGCTGACGGCTTCCTGGGAGCCCTGTACAGATCTATTTTTATATGGAACTTATTCAATGGATAGAGAGTTGGCCTGCAACCTGCTCCCAGCACCCGTATCTGAGCCCAGCAAGGGAGGGAAGGGGCTGGTTGGGGGTGGGGATAGTGGTTCCTTTGACTAATTCTGGAGATGTTTTTATATTTCTTGGGATCTATATGCAGGACACAGTAATAAAAACCTGTCTGTGGTATGGTGCCTGTCAGTGACAATTGCTTAAACATTAAGCTTGTGTGGGAGGGTTTTACACCACCACTCCCCCACGAAGTGTTTGCGGTCTCAGCGAGAGACACATTTAGGAGATAGGGCAGTGTGATTGGGGCTACCATAGGGGTGAGTACTGGATGGTTTCCCCGAGGAGGCAGCACTCCAAGGTGCCATTCCCTGAGGTGGAAAAGACTTAAAGGTAGGGGAGCAGGTGGATAAGGTATGTGGAGGGAGCTTGGTTTTGGACAGCTAAAATGTACATCCGATACTGTGAATAAATGATGCCAGGGTGATGTCCTATCACACGCTCCCCAAGAACTAGCTCCTCACATGAATAACTTAACCTAACCCTTCATAGGGCCTTCCCAGGTGGCGCTAGTGGGAAAGAATCCACAAACCAATGCAGGAGATGTAAGAGACACGGGTTCGATCCGTGGGTCGGGAAAATCCCCTGGAGGAGGAAATGGCAACCCACTCCAGTGTTCTTGCCTGGAGAATCCCATGGATACAGGAGCCTGGCGGGCTACAGTCCATGGGGTCACAAAGAGTCGGACACAATGGAAGCGACTTAGCACGCATACACGCAACCCTTCATAAGGCAATACGTTTGCACTTCTTCCAACAGTAAGTCCCAAGTAGGTCTTCTAGAAAGATCAGGGGGTCTGTAATGGTAAAGCTTGACACTTGCTGTTCATTGGAACCCTAGGATTCTTTGAAACTCCCCTGGTGATGGGGAGGATGCCAGGCTGCCACCTTCTCCTCCTCCCTCGGCCCAGAGAAGCTCTGCTTTCTTCATACACACAGCAGAGGCTACAAAGTAAACTGCCCACAAGGATGAGGTACGAATCCCCCTGAATGGGAAGAAGACTCGGAGGATCAAGGAAAACTGCTACACAGCTCCTGTTGACTGTGGCCCCTGTTGCTGAATCTTATTTTTGGTGGCTAGTGAACATTTTTGTGAAAGCTCACAATTTTTAAATTGTTAGCAATTTGAAAAAAAAAAACAAAACACCAAAACTGTGAGAATGTTTGCCGGACCTCTTTGATCTGGGGTCTGGCAGTAAGACTGACTTTTCTTTGCAGCATCCCAGCCTGGTGACAGTTCAGCCCTTGCTTTAAATCCTGGGAAGGGAAGCTAGCTCGTTCTCATCTCCAACCCTCACATGGGATGGACTGCTCCCTCTTTCTCTATGACTGGTATTTACTTGGCACCTGTTACATACTACACATTCCCTGCAATTGGGTCTAGGCAGTGGTGCAAATGGGGTGAACTAGGGTGAGGTGGACCCACGCCAGTGTTCTTGCCTGGAGAATCCCAGGGATGGGGGAGCCTGGTGGGCTGACATCTATGGGGTTGCACAGAGTCGGACGTGACTAAAGTTACTTAGCAGCAGCAGCAGGGTGAGGTGGCCGTGAGTAAAGACTGTTGGATCCTGTGTTTCCTTGATGTCAAGCTGTACTTAACCCTGCACCCGATGATGTGGGAAAAGGTAGAAGCCTCAGCTTTGGTGACCTGATCTCTTGAAATGAGTAACTGCTACTCGGAATGCTGTCACAGACCGAAGGGCCTTCCCCGGAAACTCTCAACACCACGGACCTCCTAAACTGTGGCCCGAGTCTGTCTTCTCTTCCACTGTGAGCCCCACCTCGATCATTTCAGTAAAAATTCTAGGAAGGCAGATCTGCCAGAGCCTAAAGCTTGGGACGTGAGAAGCCCCATCACTGAATCACTTGGGCCCCTGCTTTGTCCCTGGCTGATGAGACTTGCTACACAGGTAAACTATAGATGCCCTGGATTGTTGTGCCCCCAAGATGTAAATTTCTAGTTCGTGGAAAGAAGGCGTTGGGAAAAAACTTCCTGGGCTAGATTACCATGCCCTGCTTGGGAGAGGGCCCCCTCTTCGGGTATCAAAGAGATTCTGCCTGAAGTAAAGGCTTTCACGTCTGTGGGAAGTAGCTGTTTGCGGACCCTCCGCTCTAATAGCTTCAGCCCCCAAACTGTCTTTAGTCCAGGTAGCACATTTTGGAGATGACAGGCAGGTGGAGTATCAGTTAGAAACAAATCCAAATCCATACTTTATTGAAAACCGGTACCTTTCGGTAGCTCTGATCAGAATAAATCAGCTTACAGATACCACGACTCAGGAAAACAATATGTACAAAAGTCTCAGGAAAGGGAGAATAAGACAACTTGAAAAGAACATATCTTGCACAGGACTGGATTACTAGGATGGTCATGTAGCAAAATAGTACAAAGCACAACAAAGAACCACACACACCACTGTGCTCCCGAGCGCGGGGCAGGAACTCTCGGCTCCCACATTCTTGGACCACGTCCCATGATTCTTCGGGGCAGCAGGGCTGGCTGGGGCGCAGGGGTCTCCGTGCCCACGGGACAGCCCACACCAGGGCAGAGGCCAAACGCACGGAATGGGGCCCCCAGACCAGCTACACTCGCTCCCCCATGAACCTAAGAAGAGAGAAGTGCTCTCGGAAAGTCTACAGAACTGGCAGAGACTAGAAAGCTTTGAGTTCGATTGCAACCAGTCATGTAAAAACCCCACACTAATCTAAACCCTACAGTTCCCTTATCCAGATTCCCACTAACTGAGCTAAGTGGAGAGGTAGAGGAGCAGGACGTGGAAACTGCCCTCAAACCAAGCTTTGGTCTTTGGTGAACAGGGACAATACACAATGCTAGTCCACAAATCAACTGGAGACGAGACTCCTGGTGGGCAGGGCAGGTGTAAGACTGCAGAGCCCCAGCAGTACCCACCGCAGGGGGGCGGATGGGCACGGGAGGGGAGATGTGTCCTGCTGGGGTCACAGCTGTGGCTGGTCCTGGCCCTGTCCGCACAGTCCCTTCCAGCTTCAGAGCTGCTTCTTGGAGCTTACAGCTCCCAGCCTGGGAGCCCAGCTGCACAGGGCTCCCTGGTGAGGGTGACTGACAGTCCTCCTGAGAACACGAGACTCCTCCGAGTTGGGGCAGGGCAAAGAGCAGAGGCGGCCACTCTAAGAGCAGGAAGGAGAATTCAGTTCAGAGAAGGGCCGGAAGTTTGGACTGTATGGATGCAGAGGCAGTGTCTTTGTCACCTGGATTTGGAGGTGCCAAAAGCAAAGCTTCCTGAGTTCTCCAAGAGGAACAAAACCCCCTGCTCTGGAACTTCACAAACAAACAGTAAGCCAAAAGGAAGAGGTCTCTTCAGGGTTCCAGAAGTGCCCACAGAAGGCCCATCCTGTCCCATCTTGGAATAGCAGCTTCATTTTTGAGTTCGTATGGTGCCACAGATTTGAGCAAGACGGCTCTGAAAGGAAAAGGGGAGGTTGTTCAGTGGGTGGTGCCGGCAGGCGTGCCCACCCGCCCCTTAGTCTACTCACGGAGCACTGACTCTGGGGCTGGGCCTGTCTGGCTGACTCTCAGCTCTCCATCCTTTATTTGGACACGAACGAACTAACCCTTCTGGGAGGCTATGCTCACCACTAGACCACCAACGCACACTGAACTAAACTTTCTGCATCTCTGTTTCTCATCTGAACGAAGCAGCAAAATGCCGTCTCAGGTGAGACAGTGAAGGTATCATTTGGGAACAGCAATGCTGGAGGTCCAGCTGATGAGGGATGTCACCAGGTTCGGGTGGCTGGCATGTGCCCAGTCTCAGCACTGGTCTGTTCCAAATGACACGGTTGAGAAAGCAGCTCCGCCCTCATCTGCTCCCTGGACATGCCCTTCACTGACCCTACCCCACCCCACACCCAGAAGGGGGGCCAAAAGCAGCCACGTTTGTGCTACGTGTTCCCGTCCACCACACTAAATCCAGCCGACAGGACCAGGGTGGTCCGTCTGACCAAAGCTGAGAATGGAATTGTCAGTTCTTCCTCTTGAGAATTTAAATGAGGACTAACCCTGGACAGCCCACGCTGGGCAATGGTGTAGGGAGTGCAACTACGCAGAGTCGCACTCAGACCCAAGGTAAGGGGGCGGGGAACCAAGGGCCTCATGGAGAAGGTGATATTCTGCTTAGGGAGGAAGGACAGGTGCAGGAGAAATGAGTGCTTGGGCCCCAGAGACAGAGGTGCTAAAGGAGCTGATACAGCAGAGCAGAGTCCCATCAACCCCTGGCATTGTGGTCCCACCACCCGGAGGGCCTCGCTGGTCAGCACTCTTTTCGATTCTGTGGGATTCCTTGTAACAAGTTCCTCACCCTGTTCCTGAACTGCTGTGAGGAAGCTTCAGTTCCCAGAGGTCAACTGCTGTGCCGTAACATAAAGGCACCAACTGCCTGAATGAGGCAGAATTTTTTATTTTCTTGTGGAACTTCTGTGGTAGGCACTCTGGGTTGGACCAAAACTCAACATCAGTTTAGGGACAGAATTGTTGCTAGGTAAGCCGGAGAACGTAGTGTCAAAATTCCTTGGGGGAAACAGTTGTAAGTGTAAAGCACCAGCCCAGACCCAAAAGGCAATCTTAAGAATGGCTAAACCCAGAAGGCTCCACCCTGTGTGTGGAGAGGAGCATGAGACTTACGGAGAGCTTCTTAATGTTTCCCAGGGCCTCTGGATCCAGCTGTGCAATATCAACCCTTTGCAAGTCACTGGCCAATAACCGCATGCTCTGTGGAGAGGGGAGAGGATTAAAGTGGCAGGTCCCTCAGAGCAGGAACCTCTGCCAGCAGCCCAGGGTGCCCTGGGGGGGTCCCCTTGATGTCCTGCACTTGTGGGTGGTGGTGGCAAGGCAGGCAGGAGGGGTGTTGGTCCCAAGGAGACAGTGATGTTGGCATTTATCACTGAGCCAGTGGCTGTATCAGCAGAAGACAAGGGGTGCACGTTAGCTTAGAAATGCCCTGCAGACCTCATGTGAGATAAACCATCCCCTCTGTCCCCGAGCGGAGGTCAGCAACTTGCTCTGCTCTGCCCGCTTCAGACTCCTCAAAGTTACACAAAGTGGAAGACTCTCGAGCTCCCCTCTCTAGACTAAGCATGCACCCT